TAAGTTTCTTTGTACATCTGCAGACGAGTGGGATATTGTTCCTTTGTGTGGATATTCACGGATACATTCCTCGAACAAGGAAGCTGCCTAAAATTTATACACATAAATTTGGTAGGTTGTAATTATGATATTTGCATTTTGTTTTCCTTCATTTGAACCGATTCGTTCTTGTTTCCCCTCGTCTTGGTTGGGAAATTCTTCAATGCGCGATAGACGTTGTTTTCACAGGTCTTTTCCTTTGTAAGCGTGTATATATTACCGTCAATTTGTAAAATGTGATTCTCTCAGGCAATTTATAAAATGTGTAAATATTTCAGTCATTTTGACTAAAAAAATCTCTCCAGATTGATTGAGACGATCAAAAGGGCCTACAAACATCACAACAGATTATTATGTAGGATTAGAAGCCAAACAACATAGAAATGTACTTTTCTCAACGTAACATTTTCAATCTCTTGGTGATGACATTAAACATCAAAATGTTTGGAATTTGTTATCATAATAATACAGATGGAAATGTTTTTCAGTCACTAAAAATAACTGAATATTTAGACGTTTAATAAACTTGTTACACATTTGACAGTAAAAAAAAAAAAAAACTATAAAAAAAGCAATGCTCAGGTGAAATATGTACTTTGTGTTGCAAGTCAAAATAGTGTAAACGAAAATCGCAAAATTACCAAGCAAGTGACTTATCAAAACTTCGTCACCATTACCGATGCTACCCACAAAGATACCTACATTTCCTTATTATCTCGAAAACTGTATTTCATTTTGTTCATCAATGTGACCATACGCCCTTATTACTACCCATAAAAGCGACTAATGCGCTTACGAATGGCGCAGCAGAGGTCGCGAATTAGTCTAGATTTCTGCTATACATCCGGGTACTCACTGGGAAAAAACAATAACAAAGGCAACAACCAGTCCCGGGGAATTGCGTTAGATCAGTGCCCCTTTAAGAAATCTCCTCTAACCTGTCTTGAATTATGATGGATATAAAACTAAGATCTCATCTGTTTGTATTTAAGGCTATTTTCTTTCCTACATTTGGCAAACCATAATTATGCCGAAGAACTGTAGACAATAATGATCAATTGCTGAGTTATTCATTGCATCATCCAAGTATAAATGAAAATTATAACAAATAATTATATAAATAATTAAATATATGAAAAATACCTACACTGTTGAAATATACAGACTGGGACTGGAGAGAACCTTGGGACAGGTGTGGTCACTGATAGGGTTGGGTTGTTTCTTCTTGTAGTGATACTTCTGCCGGCGAGCCAGCTTTGACTTCTTTCGTGGCATCTAGACAAAATAAAGATACATTTAGAAATCATGTTAATGTTAATTAATAATCTGATTTTGATATTAACAATAGTCTACACTTATTAGTAATTATAGTAGAAAATGTTGCAGTAACTGAAAATTAATAAGGCAAGTGCTCCACTGGTATGAGAAATAACCCGAAAAGCTTGTTACACTGGTGGTACAGAGTAATATTATCACAAACTTCAATAATTAATTACAATAACAATATTTGTTTAAAAAATACATGAAGTACATCACTGCACAGTGATATTTAAAGATTACAGAAACCTAAAACACAAAAACTTATCCTTTTTAATATCTGAGATCCTGAGCTAGAGAAATTTGCTAATTTTCAGTAAAAGTGCACGAAATGATAGAAAACTTAATAACTTTGTAACATTTTACTCCTCTAATTGGACATTGATTTACATAAAATCGCAAAAGAAGATATGCACAATTGCACATTTTAAATTATCATTTTACGGAAACAGATTTTTAAAAATAAAAATAATACTTGCATTTCGGTTATATTTGACGAGAGAAAAACACTAATTTGTGTAATTAGCCTAAATGGCCGCCATTGTTCTAACATTTGCGAAAACAAAGGGTTTTCATCGGTCAGTATAACGTCTCTTTTGTGTTTTAAAATGCCAATTGTTGACATGATATGGTTAAAAGTATGACTTACCTTGGGAACAAATGGGCTTAGATGAGGTAAAATATCAACATAAAGACACTGTTTGATGAAGATTACGCGAAACAAAAGCTTCACTGTCGTCTGCACGCTGTCGCTGTTTCTCGCAGATTCTCGCTAAGTCACGCACGCGGCAGACATCGAGCATCGGTGGTCGGCCTTCCAGTCCATCTATATTTAGGGTCCATGGTCATATATATCTCATCTCAGTACGACCTGTTGGTGTTGACCTGATGTGTGTACTGGTATAGTGTCATATTTATCTCATCTCAGTACAACCTGTTGGTGTTGACCTGATATGTGTACTAGTATGGGGTCATATATATCTCATCTCAGTACAACCTGTTGGTGTTGACCTGATATGTGTACTAGTATGGGGTCATATATATCTCATCTCAGTACAACCTGTTGGTGTTGACCTGATATGTGTACTGGTATAAGCTAGGTCATATATATCTCATCTCAGTACGACCTGTTGGTGTTGACCTGATGTGTGTACTGGTATAGTGTCATATTTATCTCATCTCAGTACAACCTGTTGGTGTTGACCTGATATGTGTACTAGTATGGGGTCATATATATCTCATCTCAGTACGACCTGTTGGTGTTGACCTGATGTGTGTACTGGTATGGGGTCATATATATCTCATCTCAGTACAACCTGTTGGTGTTGACCTGATGTGTGTACTGGTATAAGCTATGTCATATATATCTCATCTCAGTACAACCTGTTGGTGTTGACCTGATGTGTGTACTGGTATAAGCTAGGTCATATATATCTCATCTCAGTACAACCTGTTGGTGTTGACCTGATGTGTGTACTGGTATAAGCTAGGTCATATATATCTCATCTCTGTATGACCTGTTGGTGTTAACCTGATGTGTGTACTGGTAATGGGTCATATATATCTCATCTCAGTACGACCTGTTGGTGTTGACCTGATGTGTGTACTGGTATAAGCTAGGTCATATATATCTCATCTCAGTACAACCTGTTGGTGTTGACCTGATGTGTGTACTGGTATAAGCTAGGTCATATATATCTCATCTCAGTACAACCTGTTGGTGTTGACCTGATATGTGTACTGATATAGTGTCATATTTATCTCATCTCAGTACAACCTGTTGGTGTTGACCTGATGTGTGTACTGGTATAAGCTAGGTCATATATATCTCATCTCAGTACAACCTGTTGGTGTTGACCTTATGTGTGTACTGGTATGGGGTCATATATATCTCACCTCAGTATGACCTGTTGGTGTTGACCTGATTTGTGTACTAGTATAAGCTAGGTAATATATATCTCATCTCAGTACAACCTGTTGGTGTTGACCTGATGTGTGTACTAGTATGGGGTCATATATATCTCATCTCAGTACAACCTGTTGGTGTTGACCTGATGTGTGTACTGGTATAGGGTCATATATATTTCATCTCAGTACAACCTGTTGGTGTTGACCTGATGTGTGTACTGGTATAAGCTAGGTCATATATATTTCATCTCAGTATGACCTGTTGGTGTTGACCTCATGTGTGTACTGGTATGGGGTCATATATATCTCATCTCAGTACAACCTGATGGTGTTGACCTGATGTGTGTACTGGTATAAGCTAGGTCATATATATCTCATCTGAGTACGACCTGTTGGTGTTGACCTGATGTGTGTACTGGTCTGGGGTCATATATATTTGGCACATATAGAAAAGAAAGTGCCTTGGTAATCTGCCAAAGAACATATTAGAAAGGGGAAAGTGAAGATTTTGCTGACAGTATGCATTATGAGGTGGATATGATTCAAGGATCCTGGGGAGAGTGATCACATGGTACATGTTCAAAGTTTGAGTATTTATTGGTCACTCCAACCAGATATCCTGTCCAGCCACTCCCTGGTGCTCACAGAACACATTCCTGCTGTAAACACCCACTTCCTCTTCCTCGCCCAGTGATTAGCTGCATACTTGCTGTTGTTTCATAATAATTATGTACGTGCAACTTCTACAATCTTTAAGGTAGTGTAATGTAACTTCAGTGCCAGCGATAAGACATTGATACAAATGTGAGCAATCTGGGTGACCACAAGGTCTCATCACTGCCACAGCCCCAGTCTATGGCGGCTATCAGGTCTGGTAGGGGTCGTCTCCACACTTCCAGAGCCCAGGTCTAGGGCGGCTATCAGGTCTGGTAGGGGTCATCTCCACACTGCCAGAACCCCAGTCTATGGCAGCTATCAGGTCTGGAAGGGGTCGTCCCCACACTTCCAGAGCCCCAGTCTATGGCAGCTCTCAGTCTGGTAGGGGTCGTCTCCACACTGCCAGAGCCCAGGTCAGTGGCGGCAATCATATCTTATTGTTATCAATCACTGGATTGTCTGGTCCAGACTCAATTATTTACAGACTGCCATCATATACATAGAATATTGCTGAGTATGATGTCACACATTCTCATTCACTTCTCTGATCTGGTATCCTATACCTTAGGCTACTGAAATTAAGATACTCGAGGGTTCTTTAACAGAATGATTTTAACTTAATGTTTGCATAACTTTATTTCGGGACTATATGTTAATCTAGCTAACCCTCATCTGCAGGGGGGGGGGCACGGGTGGCCCAGTCGTCTAAGGCTCCGCGATTCGCTGTGCAGATTTGCGTCCCTTTGGCACGCCAGAAACCTATGATTGTGGGTTCGAATCCCGGTTCACCCCGATTATGTTTCTAGGTTTGTCAGCACCATACCCATGCTCATGGGTTTCACTGAAGTGGTAAACCTCTGAGACCTGCATCACTTCGGGCTTTCATCCCACATTAAGCTGACACGCCGTGATATAACTGGAATAGTGTTAAAAGCGGCGTTAAATCCAACTCACTCACTCACTCATCTGCAGGGACTAGCTATATTTGACTTGGGATGGCTCTCTATTGCAGTGAACAGCTAACTGACCTACCTGCCATTTTTGTATGAAGGAATATATGCCAGCACTGTCTGTTTCAGGGTACACATGCGGGCTATGTAAGAATGATGCCAACATCCCGTTCCGAGCCCAGTGTCAGCATGTCTGCTGTTACATGTGCTGGAAGCAAGTGTTTCAGGTACAAACCCCGCACAGTGCTATAGAGCCTCAGTACAGGTTTACAGTGAGTGTGTCACAGCACCTCAGTATCAGTGGAGCCAGAGTATCAGTGGTGGTACTGGTTAACCTTGGAGCAAGGGCAGCAGGGGATATCAGAGTTATTGCCCAGACTGACTATGTTATGTAGTCCTGTGTTGTTTGTGGAGTTGGGCAGCATAGAATATCAGAGTTATTGCCCAGACTGACTATGTTATGTAGTCCTGTGTTGTTTGTGGAGTTGGGCAGCATAGAATATCATAGTTATTGCCCAGACTGACTATGTTATGTAGTCCTGTGTTGTTTGTGGAGGGATATTAGAGTTATTGTCCAGATTGTCTGTGTTATATATTCCTGTGTTGTTTATTGTTGACAAAGCAGCAAAGAGTGCCCAGAGTGTTGTTTGTGGAGTTGGGCAGCTTGGGGATATTAGAGTTATTGTCCAGACTAACTATGTTATGTAGTCATGTGTCGTTTGTGGAGTTGGGCAGCTTGGGGATATTAGAGTTATTGTCCAGACTGACTATGTTATGTAGTCCTCTGTTGTTTGTGGAGTTGGGCAGCTTGGGGATATTAGAGTTATTGTCCAGACTGACTATGTTATGTAGTCCTGTATTGTTTACTGTTGACAGAGCAGCAAAGAGTGCCCAGAGTGTGGAAATCGTGTCCGGCGCCGCCAACTCACCCAGCTCCTGTTTGCCTCGGGGCCCAACCTTCAGGAGTAGGTGGACATGCTGCAGCAAACACTCTCTCCCATGTGGAATGAGGGGATGTTCTTGATGGAGTATGAGATGTACATATTGGTTGAGACCTCACCAACAATAGGAAGTGAATCAGGAGTCAACCCTACAAAATATTGCCTACTCATTGTCACTCTGTGCAGGACAACTAACTGTTCAGTTATGTAACACATTTTACCAACAAGTTACCTAAAATTCTTCCACCAGGAGGCACATTGATATAGACTGTTGATCAGCTGGCTGAAAAGGACAAGTGCATGTCTCATCAAGTCCTGTGTACTTCATGATCAAGAAAGTTAACGAAGCAGGTTGTGTAGTGCAATTCATTTTGATACCTCACAATAGACATATTGTTTATCCAATACCATGCCCACGTAGTTAAATCAACCAAGAGGAAGTTTTTTTCAGGGGTTGTTTTGGGCCAAGTTGTTAAATCATCCCCGATAATCCTCAAATTGCAAGTAATCTCTGCTGTATGACTGTAAGGATGTTCAATAACAAACGTGAAATTGTTGTTCTAATACTGTATATTTCAGCTGTTGGAGTTTCTGGTATATTTCAGCTATTGGAGCGTCTGGTATATTTCAGCTATTGGAGTGTCTGGTATATTTCAGCTATTAGAGTGTCTGGTATATTTCAGCTATTGGAATGTCTGGTATATTTCAGCTGATGGAGTGTCTGGTATATTTCAGCTATTGGAGTGTCTGGTATATTTCAGCTGATGGAGTGTCTGGTATATTTCAGCTGTTGGAGAGTCTGGTATATTTCAGGTATTGGAGTGTCTGGTATATTTCAGCTATTGGAGAGTCTGGTATATTTCAGGTATTGGAGTGTCTGGTATATTTCAGCTATTGGAGTGTCTGGTATATTTCAGCTATTGGAGTGTCTGGTATATTTCAGCTATTGGAGTGTCTGGTATATTTCAGCTATTGGAGTGTCTGGTATATTTCAGCTATTGGAGTGTCTGGTATATTTCACCTATTGGAGAGTCTGGTATATTTCAGCTGTTGGAGTGTCTTTTTTTTCAGCTGGTAGGGTATCTGACATAGTTCAACTGTTGTGGTTTCTGGGAAATATTTCAGCTCCTAGGTGTCTGGTATATTCCAGCTGTTGAGGTGTCTGGTATATTCCAGCTGTTGAGGTGTGTGGTATATTCCAGCTGTTGAGGTGTCTGGTATATTTCAGAGTTATAGTTCAGACTTTTGGACAGTAGACTTATACAGTCAGTTATCCCTTTCCTTGGGAATGTGAGTGTATATATATGAACTATGAGATGTGTATGTTCACAGTGTGTTGGAAATTGGAAGCATGTTTACCAGTCTTTCATCATTACAATACATGCCCCAGGATCAGTTATGCTCATTACTCTTGATCAAAATTAGGCACCTGTTTATGTGAAATTCCTACCTCATGGATGTCAAGTGACAAGAGGCTAATGAAGTACAATACCGTTTGGCTCACATTGACCTCACAATAGACAAACGTGAGAATGTGACATGACAATGCTGCAAGACTGTCAGTTGGGTTAATGTTGCAATGTCACTCTGCAGGCATGCAATCTCAAACTTCATATGCAAGAGTGATTCCACATAACATGAATTGGCATGATTTACTTCCTTCAGTGCACAGCTGCACTGGTTAATTATTAGCTGCTGGTTTCAGATTTGCATGTCTGAAGTTTAAGATAACAGATTACATTCCATGCGTAAGTGATAACACTTTCCAAGGGACATACTTGGTAACTCCGTGGCTCCTTAGATCAGTAATTGGAGGGGGAGCTCCCTGGCTCCTTAGATCAGTAGTTGAAGGGGTTTCCCTGGCACCTTAGATCAGTAGTTGGAGGGGGAGCTCCCTGGCTCCTTAGATCAGTAGTTGAAGGGGTTTCCCTGGCACCTTAGATCAGTAGTTGAAGGGGGAGCTCCCTGGCTCCTTAGATCAGTAGTTGAAGGGGTTTCCCTGGCTCCTTAGATCAGTAGTTGAAGGGGGAGCTCCCTGGCTCCTTAGATCAGTAGTTGAAGGGGTTTCCCTGGCTCCTTAGATCAGTAGTTGGAGGGGGAGCTCCCTGGCTCCTTAGATCAGTAGATCAGTAGCTCTTGTCCTATTTAATGCAACAGGAGCACATAGGTGTTATAAGGCATCAATACCTGGCCTCACCGCAACCACCTGGGCACTGATGTAGTCATTCCCACTGCCGTGTAACCATGCATACACTTGTTTATTGTATACAGTAATTTTGTACTTCTTTACAAACAACAGCCTGTACATGTGTTTGTAGTGGATGACATATATTGTTGTGTATATACTGAGAACTGAGATAGTGCATCGCTTGTAGCGCAAGAAAAACAAACCCAGCATGTGGGATGTGAGGCGGTCTGAAGGTGTACTGTGTCAGTGCTTGAATGAATCTCGGTACTGTTGAAGTGAAAGGCCTCTTGAAGAGTATTAATTAGACATAGTGCCTTTGTCTGGAGCTGGCAGTCCTGACGAGCTGAGGTGCTGGTTCCACTTAGAGAACAACCTGCAAGCTACATCCTTGATCTGTTCTCACGGATGGAATTTTTTAGCCTTTCTAAAGGACATGCAGTGTTTCTTCACAAGGGCCAGATATTCTGCAAATGGGCAATACTTTGTTGGTTGTCGTTATACAAGAATATGAAGTATTTATGATTGAGTTGTAAGAAGGGTTTTCTTTATGTTAGCCAGAGTATTGCTTTTAAGAAAATGTAAATACAAATGAAGGTTTGTTGATGACATAGTCATTCGATTAATCAACCTCACAAAGTCACAAAATTTCTTGTGACATCCTAATGAATGATGACATCATCTTAATTTGTTGTGACAAATTCATTGGTTTGACATGTTTTACTAGGGCTGAATGTTTCACAAGCAAATAACTGTACAATAGGCATCAATTTGGGAGTTGGCGTGAAGCAACAAATGAATTTATGAGTGAGACTTAACTAAAATTATAGCTAAAATGGATAGAATTATCATTAAACAGCCCGCGTGTTATCAGAAACGAGTGGGCCACTGTAACTTGATAATGCCCTCATAGTGCTTTGATGACAGGCCATTATCACGCCCGTTGTGAGGTGATGTCATAGGATAGGGATAGGTGACATCATCTGGTTTGTTCTGTGACGTTTCCATATTTGTAAAAGTGGGTCAGTGACATTTATTGTGTGTTGATTGCAGTAAATGTTTAAAAACCGATATTGATGTTAATTTTTAATTGATTACAAATTCTATCCATTTTCGCTGTGATAACGGTAACTCTATTTTTCAGGACATTGTCATTTGCAGAAGCCCTTGGTCTTTTCAACTGCCATCCTTTGTCGGGCAGTTAATGGAAGACCTCAGGCTTCTGCAAATTATAATGCCCTGTAAAATAGCATGTTTTTTTTACCGTTATATTGTTTCCCTGATCCCCTGATGTGTAGGGTGCACTGCTGCAACCACACACAGGCTATATATATATGTGCAACATATGGCCTCCAACAGTAAAGGTTTACCCACCAACTCAGTGTTTGTTGTCATTCAGTTACTTCACAGAGATGTTCAGCTGCATTATATGCATACACAGAGAGATACACTGGTCACCCGTGGGAGAAGTCAGTTGACACTGATGGGGATTCAAGAGCACAGGATGTTCGAAAACCGGACTAAAGTCTGGGTTTGATTGCTGCATGGTGTGACCTGATTGATTGTGACTCAGAGGATCCACTGGCATAGTCGTTGCTCATACTGTCAACTACCTGCCTGGTCCAGACTCTGTTATAATCCTACCGTTTTGAAAAAACAGGAGGCAAATTAGCGATCAGCAGCTATGGTGGTCGTTTCTAGGTCAGAACTCCAAAACTGTTGAATATGTCAAGATGAAACTTGCTATACAGATCAGTCTGGTTGTGAAGTGGTGCCTTTTGATGATTTGTGATTCTTTTTTAAAATAAATTTTCATGACGACATGTTAGACTTTATTGAAAATTGTGGTAAATTCTTGAATCTGTCCACAAAGTTCTGATCACAACCAGAACTTAACATTATATGAGTGCCTCAGTCAATATGCTGCCAGTTACATTCCTCAGAAATAGTTACAATATACACTGCCGCATGACACTTTCAATATGAATACAGTCAGCAGCAGCTGTAGGGATGGTGCACATCCTGCTGGCTAGCGTCCAGGTAGAGGTACTGTGAGTCCCACCTGTCCCTAGTGTGGCGATCTACCTTGGGTTGCAGGTGATCTATGGCCCGTTTTTACATTGTACTGTCAAATAATAGTTCTATCTTTTTAATGCTCTGATTAATCTGTGATAATCTATTTATTAAACTGTCCCATGACTGTTTTTTATACTGTGTATGTGACTGAAGTTTAACTCACTGTCTCACCCACTCACTCACTTACTTCCTGCAATACGAATAACTTATATAATCTTGATTGATTTGAATTGTATTTCTGTCAACACAACAGCTTAGTCTATATCATGTGTCTTTTGTGAGCTGCAGCACCTACAGCTCTACTTTCTCTGGACTGATCATTGAGTATGGGACTTTCAATGCTGGGCCTGTACTCCTGACACTGGACATTGAGCAGCAGGTGCTCAGATGCTCAACAGGAAGTACAGGTTGGCACAACTGTGGCGGTGCTGACAGTAACCGACACCAGCAGTCTCAGCAGGTGCACGCGTACACTCATGATAAGAAGCAGCAGAAGGGTCTATTCCAGGTGGATGATGCAGATGTTGATACTGTTACTACCGGTCAGGACATCCTGAATCTGTTTATGTCTACCATCCCATGTGGGCCTTCTTGTGGCATGGGAACCTTGTATACAACCAATGGCATGTAAGACCCAACCTCTCTGTTATTAGTCATATAGATTATGGAGGTACTTCCTACTGGTGCGTGACATCACGTTCAGTGTGACTCGTATCTAACACTAGACACATGTGATGGCTGTATGTGTTCAGCTATCCTGTGTTTTATCGTCACACCCTTCAACGTTCGATGTGAAAACTAATTGAGTCATTGTTGGTTTACCACCCGTCGAGGAACAGCTTGATCACCTTCCCACGATGGTATTACCTTCCGGGAGTTAACTGTGGTTAGGAAAGAACAACAGAATTATTGTAATTACTCGGTGATGTTATAGGCTTCATCTATCCACCACATGTGAACGTTCGCTATATGTGCGTATGTACAGAGGCGTTTAGTAGAACCACGTGGCAGTGTTACAAGCGTTGTAAATTATGACAGTCTTTTTTTTTTCAACTTCCTAAAAGCAGCAGCTAAGTCAACACTAAGCTGGGGCATCAATATTTTGATTTAAACGATAATCGCTGTCGTAATCCCTTCTATGTTGCTCGTCACGCTCCTAATGACCGTGAGGCACTAGCCGAGCGGCAGTCATATCCCAGGTACATTAGCCTTTATAGCAAGGCGGTCAGGTCAATTGTACACTGTAGCGGTTTTGTGGGTGGTGGGTGTGGTCCGTGCATTCTTCTCCCTGACTCGGGTGCAGGGTTGTTTGTTCGCCCGTGCCCCATGCCGTGGCCCATGTATACACAGACTACATTTTTTAGACAGATGACGCATATAACGAGACTTCTGCGCTTTGACAGAACAAAACAACAGAGTAAAATGTTGACCCAGTAAAACAATTATTCGGATAATATAGTGATCATTGTGAGATTTATGTATAAAGAGGGACAAGATGCGTGCTCGTGGGCTTTAACCAAAGTGGCAAAGGTCTTATACCCCGTTCACATGCGCCTCTATACATGTGTGTATATGTGCATACGTGTGTAGAAATACTTGCCATGTGAACGCGTTAACTCGTGTGTATATTTACACCAGGAGCAAATTTGCACCATATCTGGAGCAGGTGCAAATGTAAATGTAAATTTGCACTGTGTATATGTTGCAATGTGAACGTTTATGTCAACGTAAGAGGGTGATCTAATTAATATATGTTCTTTTGCCAACACCAAACAAATTGCCAACAGCTGCCAACTTTTATGCGTATATACAGAGTTGAGCCGACAATGTTTTCTTTTGGTTTCAAGGAGTCCAAACTTTGTGTACAAATTAAATCAGACGCATGTTGCTTTACGCGAAAACTTTCGGCGAAGTAACTCTCTTCTCATTCAACTTTGATTGGAAAACAACCTGTTTTGTGTTGAAAGTCATAAACAGACTGACAAATATGTGTGCCTTGCACAATTTACATACTTTATTTACACACCTAAGATGATGTTTTTCATGTGGACGCATAGTAAATTTACATATACACACGTATGTATAGTTACACATGCGCATAATTACTGACGTTAGTACATGTTGTGCATGTGGACGGGGTAAGACATGCGTCACTTCAGACATTAAGCCGACACGTCATCATATAACTCAAATAGTGTTCATGTCGCTGAAATTAAGGTAAATGTAATTACGTCACTCTACCATGATTGTATTGTACCATCGTTTCGCTTCACTACCTCATAAGTTATGTATCAAGTTATATGCATTGTTTGTTTCGTGTTTAAAGCCGCACGCAGCAATATTCAAGCTAAATGTATATGACGGTAGTCTGGCCCAGACAATCGAGTGATGGATATCATGAGCATCGGGTCACCCAATTAGGATAAGATGACATGCATCAACCAAGTCAGCGAGTCTCACCACCCGATCCCGTTGTAGTCGCCTCTTACAACAAGTATGGGTTGCTTAAGACCTATTCTAACCCGGATGTTCACCGGTCATCAAGTAATAACTGAACATTTGATGTGTAGATCATGAAGCATTACACTCTCGGCTAGTTTTGTCACGCCTTGATTTGCTCGTTTCCAAATATTTATTTTCCTGACGACTTGTAATAAGCATAAAACATCGCAAATGGTTTAACGTGGCTCTGGCGATATAAAAATATTATGTATTCCATGTGATGTGAATGACGAAGGTTTTATGCCTTCGGGAAGCCAGTCTGTGGTACTAACCCTGCCCTTTATCACACGTTACGTCACTACATGCACGCATTAAATATCAGCTTGTGTTTCCATCATTCCAGGAGTGTGAGCATCCTGCCAAGTACACTTTTATCGTTGATTAACCGCGAACGCTTTGTTCTCAGAAATTAGCTTTGTGCGTCTAAGTAAAATGGCCACACAAAGGATCGGTGAAGACTTGCCCGATCTGCACTGCACACACTCGAGAACAGCTTGGTATATCATTGATGTCAATGGAATTCGCGATCTCTGCGAGACATGCATGGTGATTAGTAACACAGATATATACATTAATAATCTAAGAAGTTCCAGACTGGGAAGTTTCAACTCATATTTCAGTCACCCAGTGCCCGTTTGTACATGTGGGAATATCCGTCTGCGAGAGATGAAACTCCATACTTGACCTTATACTCGTACATGCTGGTGGTGGAAATACCTTTCTCGTCAGATGAGGGGGCGCCGGTTCCCGGATTGGCAGCATATCAGAACATGAATTAATTACCCTTACGTATGTTCAAGTTGTGAGATGTTATTAACAGTCGTAAAGCGTCAATGCTCAGGTAGCTCGATTCCTGGGCTGGATTACGATGTCAACGTAACAACGCTCGTCAGCTATGCATCTCTCATAGTAACCCTAAACCATGTCACCTGCATGTAAATCTGCATTTATTATTCATCTTAACATACGCTTCCGAGCAGCTCACTTTAATGTATTCTACCCGACCATGTTTTCTATATTTCTCAAAGGAGTCTTTAATCAAAGTCGCCATAAACATGTACCCCCGCCTCATATAGTACAACCACGGTAAAATGCCTGCTGCGCAGCTAAAAAGGTCTCTTTAAAACAGCAATTCATGATACATTTGATGTGGTTTTTTATCCTCATCTATAACGACGCATTATGTGAATGTAAAAACACAACATAGCTTGGTGTCTTACTTCCGAGTCATCCCAATGTCAGCCATGAAGCCATTACCATCAGTACAGACATATTCACGATTATGTGGCGACGTCATGCGTGCCAACAATGTTGGTGGACCGGTGTAGTATTACCTGGGCCTGATGACATACGTGCCCCACTCACTGGAATGCGTATGTCCACTTACCGGACAAGGGGACTATAATCTGGGCGCCGACTGGCAATGACCTAGTGTTGGGAATGTATCTGTGGCGGAAAACAGGGGCAGGTGTCCATGAGAGGTGTTCGCATAATACACCAGACAACATGTCAGGTATATGTGAAATGAATCTATGCAAACTTAAGTCGACAACTGCCTAGATATCTGATAACTATGTCAGACCACAGAATAAATATCTGATAACTACATCAGACCAGAGAATAAATATTAGATACCTATATCAGACCAGAGAATAAAAATATCTGATACGAAAAACTAGGTCACATAATATTTGATAACAAACAGACAGGTCACATAATATCTGATAACAAACAGCAGGTCACTTGATATCTGATAACAAACAGGAAGTCACATAACATCTGATAAAAAACAGCAAGTC